GGGACATTAATATTGATGCTAAACTTAACAGGTAAATGATCAGAACAGAGTTCATTTAAGGTACTAGTATTGATGAGGTAATTTAAATTTCTAGAAAGGGCGAAATCGATCGTATTAGCTGATAAGTTCGAGATCCTGGTATTGGTTGGGGGGTAGTGTACATTTAATTTAGCTAAGTTGATGAAATTGAATAGAGAGGTGCCCAGGCGGTTGCTATCATTGTTGTTCCATGTGCTGTGTTTAGCGTTGAAGTCACCAGTCAGAGGAATAATCCAACCGTAGGAAATTAGATTTTTGAGGTAGCTGATAAAGGTAGCCGAGGCTTTGGGGGGGGGGGACATAGACACTAGAAATGACAATAGATTGGAATGGGGAGAAAAATAATCAAGGTAGGTAATCAAGAAGTTTATGATTAATATTCCTTTTAATGATAATGGCAGTTCCACCACAGGCTTGTGTATGTCATCGATGTGACTTGGTGTGATAAATTAGATAATTAGGTATTTTAAAAAATTTAGCAGTGACAAATTCGGTTTCCTGTATTATAGTTCAAAGTATAACTAGATAATTTCATTTTGAACTTAAGTAATGGTGAATTAAATAAATCAAACAATTATAACCCCGGCCACAAATTAACTGCTAAAGAACTTTGGTTGCCAGTTTTATCTTCTTACCCTGATTGATACGGTTTTATGCTGGCACAAGTATTTGTGACAGTTGGCACGAAAGGGTTAAAGGCAAAACTTTCAGCTGTCTTGTCAAATCAAGCAACAGCTTATACATATTTATCTCCCTTCCCACAAGTAGTGAGGTTATTTTCGACGATTAGTAGAAACGCCCACTTTGAAATTTAATCGCTCCTCCTTTCTCTGCGGCCCTGTTAACAGACTTCACCCCATTTCATGTTGTGTATTATTCAGACTCCGAAAACATGTCCAGAAAGTTCAAGATGAACTAGTGAGATGTTTACTTTTTGGTGAAACGCTAAAGGTCCTGTCGTATCGGGCAGGAAATATAATAGTCCCTGTAGATTTTCTCTTGTTTTGTGATTTCGATTGTGAGGAGATTTCCTTATCGTGATGTGTGGCAGACTATTTGCCAAGTCATGGCAACTTCCGTGCAAAAAAATAAATAAATAAATAAATAAAAACAAATGAAAGGGACTAACTTGAAAAGGGTAACTCGAAGCCATCAAAAAAACTATTTTTTTAAAAGAATAGTAACAAAAAAATATAGTAAAATAAAAAGAAAAAAAAATGCTATTGATGGCATTATTCATTAATCATTCCTCCTTTCATAACGCTAGAACTATTCACTTTGGTCATCATTGCTCGTAGCGCCATCTATTTAAAAATTTTTAAAATTATGTCGCAAAATGTCTTAATAAAATATTTACAGCTTTCACAATAAACATAGTTCGACTATGAATTCGGACTCAACGTTCAACTAAGCCACCACACGGTTTCTTATAAGTAGTCTGCGCAGACTATTTAAAAAGTGAACAGTTTGAGCGCATGAAACCAAATTCTATTTTAAAAGTGACTGAGAGGAATTTTTCATACAGATATGAGAATTGAATCTGTAGTGGTAGACAAGTAAATAAGAGAAACTAATCATATTAAAAAATTCAACAAATTTTTAGACATATATTTTCTACCACTTTCTTATTTTTACTAGATTTTCTATTAAAGGGCTCTTTCGTAAACTGGTTTGCCTTCATAGTGGCCTAATTGGACTACCTGTAAAAAACCGTGTGGAGGCTTTAGGCGCATTAGAGGTAATCTCGATTTCAAGCGGGGAAATGTTTTCCCTCTTACTCCCGCGAGCTGAAATGAACTCTGCGTCCGAGGAGGTGGAGCCAAGTGCCAACTCCTGGTGAACGAACTATATAGGGATTTCAAATCTGAATTTAGTTTTGTTCAGAAATCTATAGTTTTTCTATCGAATTAATATTTTTAGTGCAGTTTATTCTTTGTATAAATGTACAAGTTTATAAAGAACATACAGTTTTAAACACAAGCATATACACTTGTTGTTCGTTAGAAAATAAACTGAAATGCATCATTGTCTTGTTCTTACTACTCCCTACGTGGCAAAGAAGTGTAAACATTTAGTTTTCGCTTGAGTTAATCTTAAAAAATCCTGTGAAGGAAAATATTATTTAATTGCATACAAGCTTTAGCTTGCAGAGAGAGAGAGAGAGTCCGGTTGCAAATTTGAAATCAGCTACGTGAAAATAACCAATATCTGCTCAAAAATCTCATGCGACGCTAAAAAAAGAAGGAAAAAAAATTGAAATAAACAAAATTCTATCAAATAAAAAAGTTCCCCAGTGTCATTTATTTTATCGTACTTCCGTCGTTGAACAACTGACCCAATTTTTGGCTTACGACTACTAATGTTCAACTCCATAACCTTGTAATTTTGAACCCAATCTAGAAGACAAGGGAACTCCTGGATCAAGTATTGGGAGAAATTTGCCTTCCTGGAGGACTTATTGATGGAACGAACCAGCACTTGCGTTACATGAAGTGGAAGACCACGAAACCCTCCCACGGTTATCCTGACGGCAAGGGGAATCTGACCCATGATCCGTCTACCACGGAGGATATTTTACATCAGTACTGTGGTCGGTGCAAGCCGGATGCGAAATTTGTATCGACCAATCAATGCTGGGATTCAAACCCGGCTTACCTCATTGGAAAACGAACACTCTATCACCTGAGCCACCACGGCTCCAGTGTTATTTATTATCATTTTTTGATTACTTGATTTATTCCTGCTGTTTAATGGTAGGTTTTACGATTTAGTCAGTTCGATCTGACTAAATCGTGAATCTACTGGATGCTCTAAGCAGTCATTCACCCTAGCCCCTTCACTGTTTTTTACTCCAGAGTCTCAGTCGTCCTAGGGCTCAATACAGATGAAGTAGAAGGGATAGGTACTTCGTAAATGCCTTAAGGGCTTTTGCATATTCATGTGTGATTGGAAAGAGTATAGAAAGTTGCGAATGCAAAATTTAAATTTAGGGGTTGGGAATGTCCCCTGATTCCCCGCGGCTTTCACTGATTGCTTCCCAGGAACTGTCCTGAGCAGTAGAAATATAACGGGAAAGGAAATTTATACAAGGATAATGATGGAGTTGTTGTTGTTGTTGTTGTTAATTTACGTCGCACTAGAGCTGCACAATGGGCTATTGGCGACGGTCTGGGAAACATCCCGGAGGATGATCCGAAGACATGCCATCACAATTTTGATCCTCTGCGGAGGGGATGGCACCCCCGCTTCGGTAGCCCAACGACCTGCGCGCGAAGTCGAGCACTTTACGGTAGCACAGTTTAACGAGGACCAATACCGCACACCCTCGGTCCCTACGCAGACTGATCCAAGTGGGTCACCCACCCGCACACTGACCGCAGCCAGTGATGCTTGACTTCGGTGATCTGATGAGAACCGTGTCTTAACGATCAGTCCACTGCGGGACTGGATAATGATGGAATAAAATTAATAAAATGTGTACATTATTTATAGTAATTATTTGTGAGTACCCCGTCTCAAACACAATCGCCGGGCTACGAATGGATGACTGAAGGTACACAATAACAAGCTGGAAAGAAATTTAGAAAACTTCCGGTGTATCCTTCCGTTTATATTATGCTTGCGAAGCAATGTGTAAACAGGCTTAATATTCTAGGAAGTTTTATTATTATGATTTGTGCTTAAATTTACGCGTAAAAATTTTAACTTTCATCGGATTTTTTTTGTAATTTATAAATTCTAACCTCTTGAGTCTTGAGCCTAAAACAAATTTAATAAAATTAATATTGCAGCATAAATAAAGTGTACGATTACCCAAGTAGCACCTAATATTAGATAATATCAGAAAATCGGTAAAATCTAACGTTATCTTAGAAAATATCTAACGATAGCTTTAGATGATTGCCAGATGCTGAAAGTATGATGGCAGATCAGGAGAAACACGTGAACTTTGCCAAATATACTTTAGACTTGCTGAATATCCAAATCCGTCGCAGATCCGCCCATTTCGGTGACAAGTTTGTCATCGGTGGTGATTTCCGGTCGTCACCGAGTCAGTCACGATAATCCCAATGAAATGTTGGCAAAAATTCCGAAAAGCATTGGTTTTTAAATGTCTGACACTCTATAATATATTTTACAAAAAGCGTAATAGTTGGCAGGCTTGAGTAATAAACAAGTAAAAGGAGTCCAAATCGGGACAGCCAAAAAAGCGAAACTGTGTCACCTTTTTTACCAATACATCTAAACAACTAAAACAAACGTTAACTTCAAACTCACCAGAATCACTTAATATCTTATGAAATACAATAGATTTGAGCTCAGAAATTTTACAATATATTTCTTTTATTAAAAACAAAATTATCTTTTTGTAAATATCACCTCCCAGAATTAGTCGTAGTAAGCAGCTGTAGAGTTGTAACCGGAAGTAGAGCGGGTCAAGAGCTCGAGATTGTTGTTGTTTACATTTATATTTAAAACACTATCCATAGATTTATAAATGTTAATATCAATTGATATTAGTGATTTTCGTTCGTAAGGAAGAGACGTTCAATATTTTCCATTTGCTCGCTTTTCAATATTAAATTTTATTTACTTATTAATTTTTTTTACTAATATATAATGTCACTTGAGACTCTTCACTTTGTTAAATGAGTTAATTTTAAAACGTGGCTATTTTCAAAAATTGTTTTCATGTAATTTTACGTTTATTATTGAATCTGTATGGATACTGTAAAAAAATTTTTTTTGGTTCGTAAGCTTGAATATTAACTGTAAATCCTAATTGTGGAACGTTTTTTTAATTCATTTTAAAGTTTCTATATCACACTTTATAATCTATTAAAAAATTAAAGGCACATATTACAGAACGATCTCTATATAATCGTTCTAATACCCCCTTATACTTTTTGTTAATTCTATTTTCCAATATTTACTGATCCAACATATACTTATGCTTTCAGGATCCAATGGCGTACCTCAAATGCCGATGCGCCAGCCTATCTCACAACAGTATTTTATTATGTACCCAATGGCACCAATGCCCATTCAACAAAGTCTAAGAACATCATCAGTAACTTATCAACAAAATCCAAGCAATCAGCCCTTATCACAACAGCAAGTGCCAATATCGAGTGCAGCATTTTCTTCTCCACGGCCATCAGCAGCAACTGTGTCAAATCAGCAAACTATCAAGACACAACAACAGCCAGCTTCTTTTGTGAGCCAGCAACAAGTGCCAATGCAGTCATACGCTCCACAAACTCTGCAACCAACCCAAAACTTTCCAATGTTTGGTTCAATACCAAATGGAGCCTATTACTATGGCTTCGAAATACATCACCCACAGAAGCAAATTTAAATAGTGAAATGAAATAAAATCATATTATCAAGTAGTTATTCCTTTCATTTCTTATACTAATTTTTATATTTCAACTTATTAATCGATACATTTCATTTCATTTTATAACTGTCGTTGAATAGCCGACCGGGTTTATGGCTTCTAAGGCTCTACGCTGTAGCCAAATAATTTTGAATCCAATCCGGAAGACAAGGGAACTCCTGCTGGATGAAGTATTAGGAAAAACTTGCCTTCGTGGAGGACTGTTTGATGGAATTACAATTGTGTTACATGGAGAGCAAAACGATCGACGGTTAGCCCGGCGGCAAGGGGGCTCTTATCCATCTATAGCACTGAGGTCGGTGCGAGCTTCGTATCGACCAGCCATCGCTGGGAGTCGTATCAGGTTCATTTCATTGAAAGGTGACCCACCAATCTGAAAAGATGGTCCCAATAGCTTACGCAGAAGGGGGATTGAAAATTTGGGTAACCCCCTTGATAATCCATTAATAAATCAACCTGGAGTTGTTGACAACAGACTATGTCCGGCCACATAATCTAACAAAAAATTGTCCCGACTGTATATTCCTCTACCCATAATCTAGATCAAAAACGCTACGCATAATCTGGGTACAAGAGCGACATAACCGGACATTTATCTAATTCTAAACTAGACAAAAGGCATTATGAAAGGAATATAATAAGGTCATAGTCTATCAAATATAATTGCAGATACTCGAAAGAAAAGATTTGATACTGGGGGACTAAAAACATATCCTACCATATGTAATATTTATTTAAGGTTACAAGGTGCGTAACCAAATTATTCAACAAGAAGCACTCAAAAAATATTTTTAAGCACTTTAACGGTTTTATTTTGTTTTAACCGTCATGACAAAAAAAAACATACGACATTGTTTTTGACAATTGCCAAAAATCGTGACAATTTTGAATCATGTAAAACGAACGGCGTTTTCATACGCTACTGACTGACAATACGCAGAAGTAGATTGGGTTTGAATTGAGAAAACGTCGAATAGAACAATGTAAACTGTGTCTTTTTGCATAATTCGTAGCGAAAATCATCGTGGTAAAGGAAAAATCTCATTTTGAAAAGGTGAAAATTAAGCACTTTTTAAAAACACCCAATTGAAAAAGCACCTTTAAGGGCTTTTAAAAACTCTACGCACCCTATGTTAGAATGGCGTTAAGGTTCTAAGAAAATATTTTGACTCCTTAACCAATAAAGCGTTGCGAATGTAGTATGTCTGGTTACACAATCTACTAGAAAAGCAATCCGATTTCAAGATCCCCCCGCCCCCCAGAAAGAGAAGCAAATCAATAACAAAAGTTTACATAAGAAACTTCAAGTACACTTTTGTATTTCGTCAAACCTGCAGAAGTTAATTAACAAAAGCTAATATGAGAAAAATTCCTTTTACTTACAATGACTAAAAATTTATATTTTTAAACCTTTTAATAATTCCTAACTATTATAGTTTTGGACTTCCAATTAATCAATAAAATATCTTCAAATTTATAAAATAGTCTTTAAAATGAAATGTCTTCATACTTATTTGACGAAAAGAAATTTAATGAAGTTAAATACTAGCCCCATAATAAAAAAATAGTAATTTTTGGTCAGCCGGCGGAAATCCAGTCAACTATTTTTTACTACATTTTAGGGCTATTTCCACAAGTAACTGAAACAAAATGATTGTTACTCAAAACAAAAAAGTTCATCAATGAACAAAACAATATTATACATGTATGAACAAAATTCATCGATTCCGTTAGATTTTTTTGTAAACTAAGGGTTTTCAGAATCCAGGATTTAAATAATTCTGGACTCGTCTTTACAAAAAGTAAGTGCCTCAATCCCTCAATTAATATTCACAATCATAACACAGGAATATTTTTTTTTTTTTGCAACACTTGATTTGCCTAGCTCAGTGTGAAGATTTTAAATCAGACTAGTTTTTCTCCTAAAGCCACAAATATTTTTTTAATATGACATTTCTTGACAAAATTAAAAAATGTTGTATATAGCCGAGTAAATGTTGTGATAAACTTCCAGGAGAGTTAGGGTACAGCATCAAGATTAAATCTGCATAGGAACCAGTTTAAAAAAATAGCTTCATACGCGGTCGGGGGCCTTTTCCGAGTCGTACAAAAAAAAAAAGAAACTGTTTGAAAAGTAAGTTATAAGAATACAGATACATTCCTATAACTTCGTATAAAATAATTTCCATGACTATAGATTGTAAGATGACATTTCCCGGAATGAGTTCCAATGCAATTTTAATCCTGATGATGCTCCTTAACTCCCCTAGAAGTTGGTCACAACATTTATGCGACTTCGTATTACATATAATGTTTTTTAACTAGTACATTTTGGTAAAAAAAAAAAAAAATGTTGTTAAAAAAACTTGTGTAGAGAGTAAATGAAATCAGCAGTGCAAAAGTACCTACGATCTGCAAAAAAATTTCATGCAACACAAAACAGAAGAAAAATGAGCAATTATTCCATTCATCAAAACAAAACGTTTCAAAGCAGGAAGAGTTATATTTAAGCTATCGTGGCTTTTAATAAGGACTGATCAAACACCCGAACCGAGGAATAGCAAGGATTATTCATAACCAGAATTACTTATATTTGTTTCTTTAGCTATTAATAACGCACAAAGTTATTAACCAACTTAAATAAGCTGCAGCATAATTCCTTCCTTAGTGGAGAATCATGTGTCCCATCATAACATATTTTTTGTTCTCTCAATGATTTTTGGCATATTTAAAGAGTTGCAGTGAATATGTGGTATCAATGTTACAAAAATATTATAAAAATACGTTTACATAAATATATGTTACGGTCAATGTGAATAGTAGGTTATCATTAATAAAATCGTCAATACTAATAATAACCAAATAAGCCAGTTAAACTGAATACAGGGTGCTTAGCCAAATTTTTCAACAAAAAATAAGCACCTTTTAAGCACCCAAAAATATTTGTAAGCACTTTGAAAAAAATCATAATTAGAGAGGGTTGGCAAGTTTTTGACAATTCATCGTTTTATTTACAGTGACGAAGACGATGGAGCATTACAAATAATGAAATTAACAAGAGAAATGAAATTTTCTATCACTAATAAGGAAAAAAAAATTGACAATGTTTAGTTGGTCCCCGTAATCAGCAAAAATTCGAGAGATTTTTCGATTCTATTACAGAGGGCGGAAAATGAAGTCCGAAATTGAGAATCACTTGCAAAATGCAGCAGGGTTGCACATAAGAGTCAAAAAATTCTTACCACTGAATTCAGCTCAGTATACTCAAGTGCGAACCCACAAGTATTTCATCAAACATGTAAAACAAATGGTGCTTTCATACACTACAGACTGGCTGTAAGCCGAAATAGATTGGGGTTGAATGAATTGTGAAATCGTTGAATAGAACAATGTCTTTTAACATAACTTGTGGCGAATATCAAAATGGTAAAGAAAAATATCACTTTTCGGAAAAGGGAAAATTGAGCACTCTTTAAAAACATCCATGGAAAAGAGCACCTTTAAGGGCTTTAAAAAAAACGAAAATAAGCACCTTTAAGAAATTTTTAAAAACCCTAGGCATTCTCGAATAAAGAACATGTATCACATTAACCGGTTATTATTAATAACCAATAGATTTTGGTCAAGGCTATTCTTTCGTGATTTCATTGGGGATATTTCCATATTGTGATTCGCCAAGCCAACTACAATCGCCATGGCGTCAAATTGATTATAAACTGGAAAAATTAAGAAAAAAAAAAAACAAGTAGGTGTTTGCTCGGAGGTGGCTATGAGTTAAACCCCTTCTGTGATATTTTTTTTGTTTCTCGCGGGCTGCTACCCAGAAGTTGCCAAGAATTCGAAATTATTCTGCCATAGATCAAGAAAAGGAAATCTTCCTTTTTTAGTTCTCACTTAGACCAAAAGAAGCGGTTATTATTAAATTTGACCGGTTAGTATTAACAATAACCGGATTTATCACCTTAACTGTAACACAAAAACAAAAAGGCACACCAATGTCCCAATGCTTCATAAACCATTTAATCACTTTGACCAAACTTGATAGGTTATTATTTTAACCGGGTTTATTATTTTAACAGTAACATATATATGTATAAATTTATGTGTTACAATTATTTTTTAATTGTTTGCCACTTTTTGCTAGCACCCAGCCAACCAAAAGAGTAATTAAAAAAACAGATTTCAGAATTCAACAAATTTCAGAAAATCAATGTACTTTACAATCAATTAAGTTACTTTCTGAAATTTGACTCTTGCGTAGTATAAGGAAAAATTAGGAAATTTTGCTATAGGCCAGTCATTACATTCTAGACGGTGGTCATTTTTTAAAACATGTGGTCATTTTTCAAAAAAAAAAACAAAACATTTTAAACAACAAACTGTAGATACTAATAACGTAAGGCATTTCTTTTTTAAAATTTTACATAATATGGCAAAATTGCTCATTTTTAAAATTAAAAAAAAAAGAAACATAAAATAATAATTTTCTCAGTACTGTATACTCTTGTTATCTCAAAGTTGAAGGGACCCTAAAAAATATATGAGATAGTGAGTTTTCAAGATAGCAAGAGTTCAAAGCTAAATATGTTCTAAAAAGTTGAAAATATATTCTAAAATATTACTCTAAAAATTAGAGTCATAAAATATAAGAATAACTACTAATAAATATGCTTGTAATGATAGTTCACTATAAGTCTAAATACAACAATTATAATTTTATTTTTAAAAGTAAAACAAAATTAATTACGAGCTAATTAGAAAAACAATAGGCTTGCAATAAACTTCACTGTGATTTTTCTGCAAAAAAGTCCTCTATTTCGAAAAAAATTCGACATAACAAGGTTATAAGAAGAAACCCTTTCGACATAGGAATAACATTAGGTGGATATGTAATGCCAAGGAGAAAAATATTTTTGTTGACACAAGACTTTTTGTGATATCAAGAGTGTACTGAATTATAAAATATTTGCAATAAATCCATTTATATTGAAAGAAAAGAATAAAATGCAGATGAGAAGCATTTCGATGAAAAAAGTAGTGATAGGCAATTTTTAAATGGCATGTTATATTTAGTCGTCATGTGGATCATTAAATTTGTCTTATATTACATGAACATTAGAATACAAAATTCATCACCTTATAAAATGAGCACATCAACAGATGTTAAAAATAATTTATGATTCTAAAATGTAATACAATGGGATCATTGTGCATGTTTACAACAACCTGCTGTCATACAGCAGCAAACAAATGTCTGATGCATTTATACAGGAACACGAACGAAAGGGCGGCTCCCCCTGTGCCGCCCCCTGCTCCTCTTACTCGGTTTGCGAGGTTCATTTTCTGGCTTCATCATGTTATCAGATGGACTCAATGAGGACGGTCTCATTTTGGTGGGTTTCGATCGGGTGACGATGGTCGATGGTGCGGCATTTGGTATGAGTTGACAGACGTTCCCGACAGCCTTAGTGCGTCCCTCTCGGAACACCATACGCATCCCTACCCTCAGGTACTCAGGGTTTTTGATGAAACGAAAGTGAACCAGTGCCTTGTCACCGGTTCGTAGGCAATCCATAGACATGCTGAGAATAGAGGCTGTCTGGCGGATGCTGCCACAATGAACTGAAAAAAAAGAAGTAAAAATAAATAAATTCAGTCATGACAACTGATAAAATAACACGGGTGATTGTGGAAGCGAAAGAAAAACCCTGAAAATTTTAAGAGCAAAAACTTTTTATCTATTGATACACCATACATGTTTTAAATTTAATATAACTTTGTGAACTAGCATTTATAATTAAATTACCTACTAATGCAGAATATCACACCTTTAGAGCAACTAATTGAAGGAAAAACTTACTTTTTACAAGAATAGCGATATTGGAATTTAAAATACCATGAATATGTATAGTGATATTGGATTTTAAAAAAGTCAAAATATAAAATGCAATAATGAAGTTTTAAATCGTGCAAACATGAACCGTGCACTGTGCGTGAATCGTGAACTGTGCATAATTATTAGGTCGCGCGAATACGAATCGCAATGCATAGTTTTTAAATTAAGTATGAATGCAAAAATGTATGTTTGCTATTACAAACGCGTGAATATGAATTGCAGTATTGAATTTTAAAAACATGTGAATACGAATCGCTGCATTGGATTTAAAACTCTTATGAACACTACACAGGATAATTGGTTTAAAAATGTGTAAATACAAATCGTGACAATACAAACGTGTAAATACAATTTTTAAAACGTGTGAATGCAAATTGCAAAGAGTGGCTTTTAAAACAGGTAAATACAAAAATCAATGTTTAAAATAAAAATTGTGTGAATATGAATCACAATATTAGCAGATTTGGGCAAACACAAATATTCAAAATAGGGAAAATCCTCCAAACCGAAAAAAATCAAATTGGTGAAAGAATCACGTAAGACATGTTTGGAGAAAGAATGTATGTAAATCAGGGTGCGTAGCCAAATCTTTGAATCAAGAATAAGCACTTTTTAAAAACTTTTCAAGCACTTTGCAAAAATTTTCAAGCATTAAAAAAATTAATATTCAATTAATGATATTATTGAAAAACAAAAACTTTTATAAACAGTTTTAGCGTTAAAAAAAAACCCAAAAAGAAACGGGCGTAAATCGAAACAATCAGTACTTTCCCACATCACCGAGTTAATTCAACTTGACCCTGAACTCAGAACAAAAGTACCCTTGACCTCTACGTCAAAAAAAGTGTCAGAAGTACATTAAATAAACAAAAACAAAATTAAAATTAATTAAAAAGAAAAAGTTTTCATTAGAATCTGGCATTCTCTATCCGAATAGGAGCACTCGGGTTTCGGTTTCAAGTATGCGCGCATGCGCAAGTCATAGCGTGGGTATGACATGAAGTCCGCGTGAATGATTACGTAGCAAACTCCCCATTTTTCGTGAAATACATGCGATCCACCAGAAGGGAGAAAAAAACTTATTCGAAAAAAAAGCACTTTTTAAAAACGCCAGCTGAAAAAAGCACCTTTAAAAGCTTTTAAAAACGAAATCCCCCAAAAAGCACCTTTAAGTACTTTTTACAAACGCTACGCACCCTGTAAATGTCTCATTAACGGGAATTAGAAAAAGCTTCAAAATATTTTCAGGTTTTAAGTTTTTGATTCGTGGGTTCGCTAACCAATGGATACGCAGAATTCTGCGATATTCACGCAAAGATCGCATTTTAATTATTTTTTTAATTCCATAACTTATATGAAATATTTTATATAAGTGGTATGTCTAACTAAAGAACTGAAACAGCAAAAGTTATCGAATATTTTTTGTTCCTATGACTACCAGAACTAAGAACACATTGTGGAATAAAGAAAGCACTGCTTCCTTGTTTAGATGGTCATTCAACTTACCCATTGCTTGATATCTGGGACTGATAGTTGTGGGATGATGGAGCACTAAAATTTCTCCTTTGAACTCCCAATAGGCTTCAGGATTTAGTGCTGGAGAAACCATCACCATTCCTTTACGAATGTCTGACCTCCTTATCTAAAAATCAGAACAATATAATTTTAAAATATAGTTGTAATGCATGGCATTTTATGAACATGTAGAGTTTGTGATGTTCATTTTAAATCAGGTATTTTTTCTATGTAAATTGGATTTTCTTAAAAATAGTTCAAAAATTTAATAGTATAATGAATTATATTTTGTATATTTAAAATAAATTGAAATTGGATTAAAAATAAATAATTTCAAAAAATATTACTGCACTAAAATTCTTTTACAGTAATATATAATACCTGTAAATTCCTGATTAATTTAAATTACTAGACTGCAAGCTCACAAAAATATAAAGTTGACTTTCAAATTGATTTTTTTAGACTGAATTATTGAATGTGGAGCAAAAACATAATTTTAATTTCATTATAAACTTTTATTTCCATAGAAACAATCTCTGGAAAACTATAAGTTGATTTCTGAAATTAATATAAATGAAAATACACTAATAGTTAATTGTATTATAATTATTTGTGTGCATAATGCAAATTAACAGTCATAATTATACATAAAATTTCGAATAAAAGATAACAAATAAAATTGTGTATAATAAATGATTTCAGTTACAGTTATGTGTAAAATAATCCATAATCATACTTTTTTGAGAGCAAAGGAAGCAGTTTGCCCACTTCTAACTTCCTTGACGGGCATTCTTTTCCTGTGAATAGATTTAATAGCCACAGCCTGAAAGTGACCCAAAGGATCTGGTCCCAGCATGAGGGTATCGTTCAGTCTAATAGTCCCTTTAAGTGTAGTGCCAGATACAACAGTGCCAACACCCTAAAACAAGTTTATTCAAAATATTTTTTTAATAAACGTCTTTCTGTAATAATCATATAAGATTTTTAATATTACAGTATGCTAAATAAACTTTTATAATTACCATTTTGCAAGCTTATAATGAATTAAAAAGAATAGACACGCAGAAAACCTGTTAATCTTCTGTGACAAAATATACATACAACAATATTACTATTCAAAGTCAAGAAAATGTGGTTTAGTCTAAACAAATTACATTAAAGTTTGATTTGCAACTACACTGACAAATCAATATGCAAAAATAGATGTTTTTAAAAAGATATGTAAGTCCTATAAAGTTACTAGATAAGAAACTTACAACAAAAATGTCAGGAGATTAGACTGATATTAAAATTAGCAAACTAGTATCCAAAAGACTGTTGGCTGAAAAGTGTGGAACAGCAGAGAGCCCAACAAATTTATTTTAGCCTTACTGACAACAAAAAACTTTAAAAAAATTTGCAGACAAAATTTCTCTAAACTTAAACGAATTGATCTCTCCTGTATTAACAGCTTATTTTACATCAATCAAAGAAGATTGATCAAAAGTTATTAAGGATGGTTCGTTTATTCTTTGAGCACTGAACATTTCAAATACACTCATCGCATACTGTTAAAATAATAAAATAGAGAATCTTTAATTAAACTAAGATTAAGAACTCACTGGAACTGAGTAAGTATCATCTATCTGAAATTCAGCAGGTTCAGAATCAGAGTTTGGCACTCTTGTCGACAGAAGATTCAAAAACATTTTTAGTAGTACAAGATTTTCTCCTGTAACATTTGAAACTTGAAAGATTGGGCATAACCTAGAAGAGATCAGAACAGTGCAGCAATAAACAAAAAACAACTAAAGTATAATAAAACTATAATTAACTACTTATCTAACAATGCCATTTTTATATAATTATCCAATAATAACCTATGCAATAATATTTTTATACATTACAAAAACAGAAAATAAGACTGAATAACCTTTTTTGCAAGAGGTGCAGAGAAAAATTTAAACTTTAGGGTGAATTAAATGTTTATATTTTTAAATTTAAAAGAAAAATACAGAAAATTATAAATATTTTACTTTTAAGGTAGTAAAACAATTTTGCATATCGCACAAGTTTGTTAAAAAAAAAAAACGAAGTGGGAGTTGGTTTTTTAACATTTGCTGTAGGAAAACTAATTTCATATCAATATAGTTTTTGCCATACATAAATTACCTTTTTAATTTTTAAACAAATCTTCAATCTACAGTTGCTTTAGATATATTTCAGTTATAGAGACATTTAGAATCGAAAATTGAAAGAGTTAGATAGTTTGACTCTAACATTTTGGATTCAGCTGTGTTAAGTTTTTTGAAATTAGCTTAAACTGTGTCCTGACGATCATCGAAGAAGTGTTTGGAGATGCACGGGGCAAAGGGGGGATCCTGCCTTCACTATTGCATGCCATACCGGTCCTCAACAAGGCATTATGGTCTGAGGTGCCATTTCCTTTGACAGCCGGACCCCTTTGGTCGCCATTAGAGGTACACTTACTGCACAGCGGTACGTCAACCACATCCTAAGACCTGTTTTGCTAACGTTCCTTTAGCAGCGCCCTGTGCTGGTTTTTCAGCAGGACAATGCCGGACCACATACGGCGTGTGTTGCTATGAACTGTCTGCAAGCTAGTCAAACTCTTCCTTGGCCTGCCAGATCACCAGATCTCTCTCCAATTGAGCATGTCAGGGATATGATGGGAAGGAGATTGCATCTGGCACGGAATGTTGATAACCTCTCTTGAGAATTGGATCAAATTTGGCAGGAAACACAGCAAGAGACCATCCGAGAGCTTTATCGGTCTATGCCACGCCGTGTGGCAGCTTGTATCCAGGCTAGAGACGGGTCAACACCTTATTGAACTTGTTACTGTAACTCTGCAGTAAATTATTAAATTGTTCTGAAATTTTAATCATTTACTATTCTGTACATTGTCTTCCTATCCACCAATTTTCGTTTCAATCGGACAACTCCTTCTTGGTGCGTCGATTTTTTTGTTATAGAGTGTATATATATATATTCATTGCATCAAAGGCATGGTAATAGTAATGTATCTTAATATGGTTATTAAAATACATAAAATAGAACAAAATATAATATTGGTATAATTTTTGTAAGGGGGTGTAGAAAATGTTTTGACTTACCAAGTGGGTGGATATTCAAAAAGGGAATTCTAACAAATACTCTGTATACTAACCTTTCAGAAACAAAATTAGTGGCAGACACAATTACGTCATCCTCAGAATGAACAATAACAGGTATCTTGCGACAACCGGGTGATTTCAATATTCTCACAAGCAGTTTCATAGTATCATGCAGAATGTTTGATGGACACATGTCTATTTTGGTGACCACAACAAACACTGGGACATTCAATGCTAAAGCCAGTCCGAGGTGCTCTTTCGTCATCCCCACAACGCCAGCATTTGCTCCAACCTAGAAAATTATTTCAATCTATGAGCAACTAAAATGTAACATGCAGGCAGGAGCTCTGCTTTTTAGTGAACTGATAGTTATATAAATGTTTTTTTAATTAAAGCAATTTAATTTCTTACCATTAACATGGTGAAATCTGGAATATGTCCTGTCATTCCAAATATAGTTGTTTTCAAATAACGCTCATGACCAGCCAGATCAATGAATGTGATCACCTAGAACAAAATCATCTTTTTTACACATGAAAGAATTAATTATTCATAAATATCAGCCAATACAGTATAAAAAATTGGTAAAATTTGAAATTTCTTATATATACATGTACCCTGTAGCAGAAATCCTCCAACACAGCAGCTTTTTTTCTTAAAAAGCAATCATGAAAGAAAATTCGTAAGACACACCTTTAAAACATTCCTAAACTTACTTCTAATAAAAATTTTAAAAAACTGAATTGAGAGAATATCACAAAGAATAAAAAATAAAGATTTTTTTATTACGTAACTGTATAGGGATTTATTCCATTTTTTTTAGTGTCATTGCATAAAATATCAGCTTAAATTTAAACTACATTTATTATGTATCAATTTTAAGAATGTTAAATTTTATTCAGTGATCCGGTTTTGATGACACCAACATAAGTGACATTTCCGCACCAAGAAATTGACACAGATTAAAATTAAAATCGCTTCCGAAAATTCATGAACTTTCGATAACATTTTAAAGTTAATGAAGGTAATTCCCAAGAATGACCAACTTCCATCAACGACCATTTTACTGTGGAATGGAGAGTGATCGCTCCGAAGAGGTTCCACTGTATGTGCAAAGTTTACAATGTTAAATTGAATTTTTACAACGATAATCTCTGTCAGACTGTGTTAAAGCAACAGATAAATTTGGATTAATAAAGTAAGGATTGGCATTGCAGATTCATTTCGTAAAGTCTGCAATTGGAGATATATATATATATATATATGCATAAAATTTATCTTTAACAAATTTGGCAACCGAATAAAATGACTCAAAATTTTAAAAAAAAATATTTTAAAAAATTAACAGCATGAAGAATAAGAAAAATTTTTTGAAGCAAAATAAATTTATTCAAAAAATAAAATACTGTATTGAAAGATAATAGTAATAAAAGGATGATACAGAGTTTAAAGATAATAGTAATATAACGATAATACAGAATTTAAAGATGAAGTTGAATTAAAATACAAAGATACTATTTAAAGACTCTAAAATAGTCTCAACAAGAATGAAACGTGATATATTTTGCAGAAAATTTTCTTTAATTACTTTTGTCAGTTTAATATAATTAATTTAAATATTATTACAGTTTCCATTTTTTTATGTTTCATTTTCATTCTTTCCTTTTATTTCATTTTATGTTTTATGAACTACATTAGAAATTAGTGAACATGTAAATACAAATCATTCATTTATTTAATCTTATCTTTTTTTTCTTTTTCTGCATTTTTTTTACTAAAACTTTATATCTTAGCTTTTATTTTTCTTGTCAAGAATAAAAATGTTTTTTAAAAAATCTTTATTTAATTCTTTAAAAAAATTTTTTTTTTGCAAAAATATCCAATTATCATAGTTAAAATTTAAATTAAACAAAACTAGTACACTGTCAAGATTTCATAAAAATATCTTAATATTATTTAGAACTACAATTTTTAAAGCAATAAAAATATCTTCAATAATCTTTTGAAATAGATTAGTTTACAAACCTATAAAATTTTTATTCCTTTAACAGAATCAAACAAAAGTTTTTCAAAAATAGTAAGAGAATGCTAGTCAAAAACAAAGCAATTTCATTCAAAATGCCTTATTTCTACTTAGTTAATTTAACTTCAACTAAATAGTTAATTTCAAATTGTGCTAACTAACACACTAAAAGCTAAAAATAAAATACATAGATTTATCAATAATAATATAAAAAAGTACTTTATGTTATACCATGCTTACTAAGATTTATTTTACTACTTTAAAAGAAACTGAAACAGTTAAAGGCAGCTTTCTTCCATAACAAAAACAAAATTCTCACTTTTGAAGCTGCTTCACATATTTTCACCCAATCTAATTGACCACCATGAGTATCGGGCTTGTTAACAACATTTCCACAGCTGTCAAAACCCAAAATATCATTCCCTACACTAGAAGTTCGACCGGATTCCATTTCATGCTTGTGACGAAACAGCCTCTGCCTTGCCATACCTCGGCCATTATCTAATTCTCCATGAGTCAGAACACCTAGAAGGGTACTTTTACCGGCATCCACATTACCGATAACTGCCACTCTAAAGAAAAAATATATTTTAAATTATCTTACAATACCACAGTTTCAATTTAAATTGAAAAATAACTTAATTATACCTAAAATAGTAACAACATTCTAAAATTTAATATTATACTCCTCATTTCACATATTTTTCAAATAGATTAATACAATAAACCAAGGGTTCACAAACTTTTCCAATCTGCATCATCTTCACAAGATTTGAAAACCTTGTGAAGATGAAGATTTGAAGATTATCCTACCGCACCTCTGGCACATAATATTTGTTTGTAGTATAATATTTAATACTAAACTAAACTCAGTGGCACGACAGCCCATAGAGAGCCAAGGCCTATTGTGCCCATCTCAGTTTTCTTGACCTAGGGCTCTGGGGTGCAGGAGCAGATGTTTCCGTTTAAGTGGTCAGCCGAGCGCAGAACCCCCAGTGTTTAGTCAGGGGCCCCCACCAGGGGGGAAGGTGTGTGCACGATGCGCCCACTTGAAGCTTGGGGGAGAATTTAATATTTGCCCAAGAATGCGCCCAAGAGCTTGGGGGGAGGGGGGCCACTGTGTTTAGTTCCCAAGCTTGCTTAGTACTCATTTATCGACCCACTGAAGGGATGAAAGGCTGAGTCAACCTTGCCTGGCCCGAGGATCGACCCCAGGACCTGTGGCAAGGGAGCGCGAAGCGCTACCACTCAGCCACCGGGCGTCATGATATTTAATATGAATATATATGCTTCATAAGCGGAAATCTATGAAACAGAAACTATGGAAATAAGTGGTGATGACAATTAGTACTTAAATTCTGCTCCAGTAAATTAATTGAAATTAATAAGACAGTTTTAATTCTAATATAAGTGCTAATAATGTAAGAGAAAATATAAATAAACAACCCACACTCAAAGGTATGCTGAATTTGTTACACAATATTTAAAATCAAGGAAGAAAGTACCATATCTTACTCGCATTTCTTTTTATGCAATGTTCGCTGTTTAGAACTGCTGAAAACCCTGCTTTGCACAAGTATTAAGTAGCAATCATTGTTTATCAACCCTCATTGTTTTTTCACTCAAGACAGGATGCTCATATCTTACACGAAGTCTTGTTTCTCAGGGCTCTATCTTTTCACAATCATGCAGGAATGCCACATAATTATGATCCTGATCAGACGACGTGGACAGCATCTGAGCTGGTAAACCCCACACCAAACTTCCCCAAAACAAATGACTGGACTTTTAACCATGGCAGACTTAACTTGAATCTTGCTGCATAGACACGCCAGTTTTTCAATCTGCCATCAGGATCAAACTCACAACCTTTAGCTCTCCACCAGCAGTGTAAACTATGTCTCAATCAAACATGCCACCGGAGCACCTATCAATTTATGAATGGCAACAGATTACAAGGATTAGTATGTAGAAGACACAACTGTGATGGTAGACAGTTTGAGAATCCCTGCAATAGAATTTGTCATAGGGTTATAACAACCCTATGGCTATTTATTCTACTCGGTATGATGTAATGCACAGGATAATTGCACGTACATATTATACTTCATTATTAAACAACTTCAACCTAAAATTCAAACCAAGCAGAAGGTGCAATTTAAGTTCTTGAATAAAAAAATGGGCATACCTCACTTCAACAAAGTCATTATCTTTAGCTCGCTTGCGAACTAAGTACTCAGATACAGCACCTTGTTCTACTTTATGCTTTCTCAACAAAACACAATCAGCTTCCAGTGTACTGGCCATACTCTCAAGGGTGGCAACAGAAGCTTCCAATTCTTCCTCTGATAAACCAGAGCTACCATTGTCTAAAGAAAAGAAATAATTAGAACTTGAATAAATTGATTATGAATTGAAACAGTCTACCAAAACATACAAAGGAACAATCAAGTTAAAAAAGTTTTTAAAATTAAATAATAAAAAAAACATGAATGAATTTGAATATTTTAATTTATTTTTTAAATTAAATCTAGTTAAGAAACATTATTAAACAATTTTTTTTTAGGCAACCTATTTTCTTTCTTCTAAAATATGAGTAAGTTGAAAGACAGGAGAAAAAAAACTAAATCAATTAAACCAGTAGCAAACATCTTCATTTTATCTAGAGTTTTAATTCAACTTTAAAAAGAAGAGCATTCCCACAACAACCTGCTGTATGCCAAGGAGTCATGGAAATTTTAGCTCCACAGTTTTGTGACTAAATGTATGATGGTGGTAATGTGGTAAGCATTGCTTATTGTCTACCTTTATTTCTGAAATAGGCTAGTACCCATCAATCTGAAGTAGGAGATATTTTCAAACTAGAACTAGGGATCAAACCCTAGCTTAAAATTCCCTACTGTGAAGAAAATTTTTGGAATCAAAGCTAGTCTTAAAATTAAAGTTATTAAGAATTTAAAGCATTCTTTTAACTACTAAATTTGAATTTTATAAATTAATAGATTAGAGAAGAATAGAATTACTAATTTTGGGACAATAAGCTTTAAATAAGAATAATAAATTTTCAGACAGATTCTAATGAGCTATTTCAAAAACAATTAAGAGAAATTAATATAAGTTTTTTTTTACAAGACATTATGAAAAATTACTTAAATCTAAAAATTATGGTTAATGAAACAAATGTACAGTGCACCAAAAAAAAAGAAGAAAAAGGACAACCCTCAATAACCTTTGATCTTAAACTTCAATCTTAAAGGTTTGAAGAGGTTACCTTAAACATGCTAATAAAAAAGTGCAGACCATATTTCAAGCTACGGAATCAGACACAGCAACATACTTTCTCTAAATAAACATACTTTTTTACCTCGATGAATTTGTATTTCTGACCCCTCAAATACCGGGGATAGCCGCAATCTGGGAAATATGATTACAATCTTTGCTTAAAATCAAGATAAAGGCAAATACATCAAAAGTAAAACTAAGTTTTAAAAGTTCAAACTTTGAACCGCTCTCCCGACGAAACAGGGACCATATTTTCCAGATTGCAGCCAACCCTTATATTAAAAGGGACAGAAATCAGAATCTGCTAAAAAAAGGTATGCTTATTCAGAGAAAGTACGTTTTTGTGTCTGATTTTACAGAATAAAATATCGTCTGTATTAATTAATTAGCATATTTGAGATCACCTCCTTGAACCATGAAGATAGAGTCGTAGAAAGTGAAGATTTGATCAAAAGGGTGGTCCTTTTCCTTTTGGACGCACTGTACATTTATAATTGAAGAGTTAAGTGGGTGATAAAGATGTGGCTTCACACTCATCAGCAATAAAACTGTTTGAGCTCAGCATCACGATAAAACTTTCATATACTTTCTTACTACTTTTAAACTAAACAAATATACAAAAATTTGTTTTAGATAACTAGGATAATTTTCCCAATCTATAAATAGATAATATCAACGTTATATTTTATTTGACTGTCACATTAAAACTTGAATTCAAGCACAAAAAATTCTCATCAAATGTGAGTTTGGATTCAGATTCAAGCCTTTAGAAGTGAGTCCAAACTTATCTCTAGCGGGTGATGATTCTAAATGGCATTTCAGTGAATTTGAGTAAATTGACTTTAAAGTTTAAAGATGTGAAATAAAATTATATGATAAAAACACGAAATGAAAATTAAGCTTTGCCTTTGTTTTGGAAAATCAGCTGCCAAAAACACTCAAGGATTGTAATTTAGAACTTATATCTACGGAGGTACACACAATTTATAGACTTGAAATGAAATCATGCTACAGTAATTAAATAAAATTGGAATAAGATTTTTTTACAAGAAATCTTAAAATTTTTTAAAACTGTCACTCAAAACTTCTTCCATTAGCTTTGAAATAATTTCCAATATTGAAAGATGCAGAATAAATATTTCTTAAGTGTAATATAAAAGATAAGTGTAAATATAAATATTATTTGCATTGCACCATAATATATATATATAACTCTCAATAAAAATAACATGATTCTAATATAGTTAATCCTTAAAATATTTTTCTTTGAGAAAGAAAAAAATTCATAATCTTCATAATACACATTTCATTACATAATATCATAGAACAAAAATTAAGAAGCATTCTTTTTTATTGATCCAACTGTTCAGTATTCATTACTCGAGGGTATTTGTTTAGCTGTATCAGATGTTTACACAACTGCCTCAGTATAAGATGAAAGAGAAAAAGTATCATAATAAACAATTAAATTTTTCTTACTTTAATACAGATGTCATTTAATTGGAAAACTTGATGGTGGTTATAAATATTAAATACTATTCTACATTTATTAATATGAAATTTAATTTCCCTTCTAACAGTTTCATAAATAATTATGTATTTAATTTTAAAATATTTAAGAAACGTCTTCATTTTTCACAGGGAAATTTTATATATAAGTAGTTAATATACAATATTAATTGTTAATTGCAATTTAATCAGCAGTTTCCTATAGTTAAATTATCTATCTGAATATAAAGCATGATAAGTTTTAGCTTATTATAACACTCTTTTCAAAATAAAATGAATTTTTATTGCATTAATTAAAGCAATTAAAGAAATTAGCAATTTTCAAAAAATGTTTTCTTAATGTTTTACACTTTTCAAGTGTTTAAACAATACTTGGAAACTAAATTTTAAAAATTGAACAAACGTACCTCCCGTTCCAACATTGAAAATAACTTCTCCATGGCCATTTTCAAGTCGTAGAGCTAACTTCTGGATAAGGGCATCAAACTGCTCAGCAGTTGGACTTACTAATGCAGTCTATTGAAAGAAAAAGAAATATGATGAAAATTATAAAAATAAAAACATGAAAATAAATAGGAAAACTTAAACAGAATACAATACAACAACCAACAGAAAATTACTATACTACTACTTTGAAATGAAACTATAGAGACAGAGAAGAAAACAGTGCTTTGAAATGTATATGAGAGTCAGCTGATGAATTTGGGTAAAAAGCATACCAGCCAACTTTTAATCCTTGCGAGGATGATTTCCCCCAGTGGTAGTAAAATGGAATTTAAATTACAATTTTAGGCAGATACATACGCCGTAATTTGAGAGAGCTTATGCGGACTACCACTACAGTATTACATATTACTACATGTTTAATTTTTTTAAAAATAGTGATGGTCAAAAAGATTATAAATTAAGTTAATAAATGCAAGGAATATATAGAAAGCATACAATTTACTACCACTTTAAATATAGAAATAAAATTTTACACCAAACGCTTAAAAGTTGGCAGGTATGAAAAAGGCTCAGGTCTTATCTTACTGAGTCATCAAAGCAAATAAATAAATTTGCTATGTATTTGCTTTAAAATAAAACTATAAAGACTCATAAAAAAACACTGCGAACAGTGTATAAAAACAAATATGTGTGCGAGAAACAAATATGTCAGTCATACATTACTGAGTCATTACAGCAAATAAAAAATTTTGCAACTTAGAAAATTAATTTACGCCATACTTTATCAAAACATTGCTTTCTCTTTAAAAAAAAATAATAAAAAAAATTAAAAATAATAAAACAGCTATTTCAATATAGGTTCCCACTTCCTTCATATGTAGTTGCTAAGATTTTCATACTTATATTAACAATGTTTTTTGAAGCTCCTTCCCCAAGGAAATTAAAAAAAAGTTTAAGTGCCTCATACTTGAAGTAAGATATAATTTTAAACTATGTAAACCATCTTGATACAAAGAATTATGGCTCTAGAACTAGCAAATAACTTAAAAGATTTTTTTAGTTATTAAATTATTTTTTTAAAAAAATTACCAATTTGCCAAAATTATTTAACCTAGATATAAATTATCAAAATTTTATAAGCTCAGGTAATGCAGTACTGGAGTAACTTTCTAAATAAGAAAAAACTAGACAGAAAATGCTTTACATTTTTGAAAAATTGAGTTTCTTTTTTCATATTGATGTTTTGCATTATTTTTAAAATTAGTATAAGGTTTGCTGACTAAAGATAGACAAAACTTGACCAGGCAGATGACCAAAGATCATGCAATTAAGAGCTATTTCATGTGACCCTCAATAAACAGCTTTAAATGAAAAATATATTATATATATTGGGAAGCCATTAGGTGGCTGAGAAATTTACTCTTAAGTTAATCTTTTTGTGTGAGTTAATTTTTATTATCTTAAATGCCCTTGCTCAATTGTTATCAAAATTTAGCCACCATTTTGATTCAGGTACTAGTACAGAAATTTTCTCAGTCAATTTCATCTAAGTTAAGAATCATGTTTAGGATATTCAAGGAATTTTTAAGCAGTAAAATAATCGCCACATCAAAAAAAGTAAAATATATAATACATACATCAAAGAATAGAACTCAAACTACCCCAAACAAAAAAAAACATAATTTTTTTTAAAATTTTGTAAACACAAAGTGCTATCCTAAAGCATTAATCAGTATTATTCGTAAAGCATTAACAATGAAAAATATAAAAAATCAATATTATAATTACTTTATCCCTTAATTCCGCACAGTTATCCTCTATTTTCTTTGCATCTAAAACAAAGCTATTTTCTACATTTTGTTGGAATATGTCATTCAGATTTAAAGCAGTATTTGGTGTTGATTCCACTACTGCAGCCATTTTTGCATAAAAATTTAAAACTTATGAATACCGCCAGCAAATATAAGTCATTCTGAAAAAAAAATAAGGCAAAACCACATATAACGAATTATTACGCATTATATAAATGTAAGGCTATAAGAAACTTTCATCATTTTTAGTTAAAATAAATAAACCTGAATAATGTTTATAGATTATCAAACATACATAATTCAAAAAAGCCTTATAAAACTTTCTTCAACACATTAAATTTTTTCAAGTAGTGTTACTTAAATACATACTGAAAAATCATTCTCAACAATATAAACACAGTAGTTTGTTTTCAAGTGATAAACCGAAAGTTGCGATAGAAAATAAATGTTTACAACAGATATTGCATAGTGATTATTATTTCACTTTGCAAAACATTGCATCAGAATCATCATCGATTAATTTATCTTGATAAAGGAAAGGGGATATTTCCCCCAGGAAATGATGAAATTTTGTTACTTTTACGGAAACTGAAATAGATGGACTTAATATGGGACAATATACGTGTCCAATGTGGTGGAATAACTAGCTTAGCTTCCAACGTGTTCGAGGAAGAAAGGCATGCAAAACAATAAGGAGAAAGTTGTCAATTCATCACCTGTTTCCTAAACGATAAGTTTTTGCAGCTTTATAAACCGAAACTTGTACAAATATAGACTCAAACAAAACAAAAAAGTCACGTGACTAAAACAGACAGGCCTTGAAGGTTATAACCTGTTGCCACGATGCCACGTTTTCTACTCATTCACAAGTTTTGTTTAGATGCCAAATTTTAATTAAGTTTTTTGGGTAGTATATTTTGCTTTCGTAATATGTTTTCTTGACAGCTTTGTATTTTAATAAAACTTATTACACAAAATGGTTATTAGAAAATGTTTTTGAATTGTTAACTGCAACCTTAGCAGTGTTTCAGAAAACAAACAGACGAGTTGTAAACATTTCAAAATAGCAAGATGGAAATGTCGGAAATTACTGACGATGTTGCAGAATTTTTTAACTCTGAATTTGGAGATGATATAAAAAATATGCATAAAATACATGATGTCATAGATCGTTTAACAAAGTGTGAGGAAACTCTGGAATGTGAGGTTTGTAAGATTAAATCACTGTGCTTATGATTTCTAAAAATGATAAATTAAATATTATCGCATCGACTATCGTTCAAATCAAGTTTTGATTGCTACAATTCTTAATATATCTTGGAATTTAATTCGTAATGTGTTAATATGTTCAATGTTCAGAAATCTATTTGTCAAATCTAATGTCAAAATTTATCCACATAGCTTATTATTCAGTGCAAAATGTAATATTTTTTTGTTTCAAATTCTAATCATATACTGTGTTATCGTCAAGATCCAAATCGGGAAATCTTTGTTCTTGTATTTGTAAGAATATTTTTAAAAAAAATTCGTTATATTGGCTTGCTTAAAGCTGGCTAGGAATTTTTCCCTTTGAACTTGCCGTATTTACTATTTTTATTTAAGTTTCTTTCATGATACTGGCTTATTATTGCTATGTTTTTGTATAGAATTTAACAATGGATATCAGTATGAAAAGCTTACTACAGAGCCAAATGGGTACATGTCATTGGTACTGTTACCACAATTAATTAAGCTTCACTAATATCAATAATGTTCAGGCGATGGGAGATTTCTTGCAGCCCCCAATGCAAAAAAAAGTATTCAGAAATTTTCTATGTTTTCTGGCAAGAGATTCTGACTATTGAAGAAATTTCTGACTTTTTAAAATTTAAAAAGATTAAATTCCTGAACTTCATTGATATTTTACATTAATTATTTCGACTCTCAATGAACACATATATATAAATAAAATACTTTAAGCTACTTAAATATTTTCATTTTGTGCAAAATGGTTTTGCAATTTTTTAAAATTTTTTATGTGATTTGATAGGCATTTTTTAAAATAGCAGTCCCGTAGTGGACTGCTCAGAAAGACACAGATCCCAGTAAAACACCGAGGTCAAGCATCACTGGCTGGGGTCAGTAAGCGGGTGGGTGACCACTACGATCAGCCTGCCTAGGGACCGAGGGTGCTCGGTAACGGTCCTCGTTAAACTGTTCTACTATAAAGTGCTTGACTTGTCGCGCAGGTCCTCGGGCTGCCAAAACAGGTCAGCCACCCTCTCTGCAGGGGATCAAAATTGCGATGGCATGTTTACCAGACCATCGCCAATAACCCATTGTGCAGCTCTAGTGTGACGTAAATAAAGTACCTACCTTATATTTTGTGTTCTTTTCCATCTTTTCTGCCATTGTATAGAAAAGGTAATTGTGTTTGGAATACATTCTAATGCAATCATAATCTACTTTATTTTATGTTTTAGATTTCGCCGCATAGCAGAGATCCGTCACATGTAACAAAGGCTATGAAAGTCGCGGAAGAGGCTTTAGAAAATATCAGAAAACTGCGAGAAAAATGGGAAAATTTAGAAATTTCTGCAACAAGCGAAATAGAAAAAATGAGGCCGATAAAAGATGATTTTTATTCCAAAATTAAAGAGTTGAAGGAAATAGAATCTCTCAATTCTTATATAAAATGGATTTTGAAAGTAGAAGATGAAAAGTATGTACTATTGTCTAACTAACTGATTATACGACTTGGCTACAAAATTTTCGTTTTTATGAATTTTTTATTACAACACTTTGTTTTGATGAATGTGATCAGGTCTACCAAGAAATCAAGGAAACCTGGAATTGTCAGAGAATAATGCAATTTTTATGTCAAAACCTGGAAAAAATTTTGCAATTAACTTGAAAAATTACCAATTTTAAAATTGAAAAGTACCCAGTAATAATCAAAATGTACAAATTCAGCATCTATTTTTATTATTCATTGTAAAATTCTGCTGTAACATGGTTAAATTTTGTAGAGTTATTTCTAATAGAATAGGTAATTTTTGAAACTACTCTATATCTAAAAATTTCTTGTTTTTAATTTTTTCTCAATTATTATCATATTTATAGTTTAATAATACAAAGATTAAAAAAGTAAAACTTTCTATGTAAATTTTGTAACATATTTACTATCTATTACAGGCGTTATATATATATATAAACATAAGATAATTAGAAAAATAAAAAATAAAAATTTGATGGAAAAAAGTCAAAGTTCTCATCGGGACACATTTCTTTACAAGTGCAATATGTAATTTACCATAATGAAAAATAATGTTATATGCATATATATTATCTATAATTTATAAACTTAATTGTTATAAAACCTTCATTTTAAACTTTTGCCTAGTGAAATTTTGTTTTTTGAAAAATTTGATAATTGACATATTTTCTATTTAAAATAAAAGTTTTGTTGTTTATTAAATAAAAAAAATATTTTTCTGTTGAAATATTGTCCTGTATTACAAAAATGTAATCTGAAATTTTATTGAAAATTTCTTGGAAAAAGACTCTATTTCTAAAATTGATTAAGAACCCTGTGTGCTGTTAGGATTTTTATTTATGTTTTCCAGTCAGAAGCCTTTTTTTATTATTTCTGATGTTCCCATTTCCTTATTAATAGTTAATAACTTTTATTTGTATTTTCTTTTTAGTTTTCGAATGGAGGAAGCACTTAAAAGCAATGACATATCTCAGATGGTCGATATATTTTCTAATTTCAAAGAATTTTGGACTGTTCTTTGTGGGTCTGACTGTAAAAATTTAGTTATGTATATAAGAAAAACTATGCAGTATTGGTATGATGTTCTTAAAGATAAACTTGGAAAGTAATTATCATGTTTATTATTTTATTGGAAATTAATATGGTGTATTGTTATCAATATTACACTTTTTGTTGTTTTTTGTCTTAAATAGTTTAATAATTTTTAGTGCTAGTACTTTTACTGTTACAAAATAGTGTTAAGAAGAAATACTTTTTTAAACTCTGTTTTTAATTTTTTTCATTATAAATTATGAGGATTTTACTAAAAACAAAGGAAGGAAGTGTTAAGTTTTTACACTGTAATGAAACATTTTTACCGAGTAAAAATGTCATTATCTTACATATTATTTTTTTAATAATTTTAAATATGCATTTTTTACACTCTAGTGAAAAACATTTTACCAAGTAAAAATGTAATTATCTTACGTATTATTCTTTTAGTATGCTGAATTTTTTCCGATACTAGTATTCACCAGAAGAATTAAAAACTCTGTTTTTTTCTTTTTTAAATTTTTATTTCAATATAAACTATGGGCATATTTCCAAAAGCAAAAGTTTTAAGCAATATAAATTATTTCTCTGAAAGAAAAAGTCTTTATCAATTAGAAATAATCTTATTTTACCATTATATTTGATTTACAGTCAAACTTGTTTTTAATGCATTTTGAGCTACATCCAATCTCTTAAAACACACTTTTTGAGACGTGTTTATTTTCTTATACTTACATTCAAACTGTGTACATTTCTTAAAAACACATTTTGAACTGTGTCCTGTACGGTTTACCTAAACTTCTTGAATAGTGTATAGAAGTTTGAAAAAAAAAAGTATTTGACTGTTCCTGAAGTTTTTATTTTTGCTTGAATGATTTAGAAACATTCCTTTAGTTTAATTTCTTCAAAAATTTTATGCAGATGAATAGTAAAACTAAGCATCTGAAGTTCATCATACGTTTTGCAATGAATTTCACAGCTGCAGTAACTTATCAAAGATATTTTTTTGCAAACCATTGAATAAATTCCTTATCTAATGTCATTATGTGTCTCTTTTAATATACCTGACCAAATATTTGTAAAACATGGAATCTTTCAGTGATTGTTCAGAAACAATTAAACCATCACAAATTATATGTGATGAATGGAATTGGTCTAAGGAATTTCAAACTTTCCTAAAACTAATAGGTGTTTGTGATAATGTATTTTGTGCCAGAGTGCTTAGACAATGCAGTCGATAAAGGTGTTGCCAACTTTGCTGTTAGAGAACCAGTGGCATTTGGAGTACAAATGTAATGAATATTTGGTATTTGACCCTTTTTACTGAATATTCAGTTGGCCAAATTATTTTTGGAAAAATTACATTTGGCCAAGTTCTTTTGGAGTTCTTTTTTAAGAGATTAAATAAAAAATAATCTAAAATAGTATTTTTATTATAAATTATCTGCTATAGTTTTTACACATATTTGTTTAGTTTAAAATTTATGTGCTGGTAAATTTGTTTTCCAATGTGCTTGCAAATCCATTTGCTTTCCATATTCTGGAAGACAAATGGCAAAGCAAAATTTCAAGAGATGAAACTAGATAACTTTATATTGAATCACATGTTTTGTTCTGTTGATTTTTTTAATAATTTTCTGGCGAACATATATTACGTATTATATTCAGTACTTTTGTTTTTAGAATTGAGAATGCTTTTTCCTTTTTATTGTTTTTATTATAGTGTGTTTTAATAGAACATATTTATGATAGATTTTATTGTTACTTTTTTCTTATTTGGTATGACAAATAGCCAGCAGCAAAAACGCTGTGATTTTCACCTTTAAACTTTTTAAGTACTAAGAAAAAAAAATTTCTATTTCCCCTTTGTCTTTTTTGATTAATTTTCTTTTTATCCGTGTTTTTATTATGACACAGCCTTTCTTAAGAGTGTTTCTAATGAACATTATTCTTTTATCGTCACTTTTTTTCTAAAAATGCGACAATGTAAAAAGGGTAAATTGAGATTTTTAATGTTTTATTTTTTAAAAATTAAGATTGATTTTTTTTTGTTTTTATCAAGCTTTTTCTTTTTTAAATAAACTTTTATTTTTTATCGACGTTCTTATTAGACATATCGATTTTTATTTTGTCTGTTTCGGTTTTGTAATAATCTTTTGTTTTTGTGGCATTTATTTGATAATGTAGTTTTTTTTTAAAAGCATTTCTGATGGACTAAATTTTTTTTAACCTTTTTTGTATACTTTTTTTTGTTGGAAAATATTACTTTTAGCATTAAAGGTAGCTTAAGAATAAGGAGAATTTTTTTTTCTCTTTTTTTTTTCAAATTACAACTTTAGCTTTTTTTTTTAATTGATTTAAATCATTTTTTTATCTTAAATATCTCTAATGGATATCGATTATATTTTTTCCTCTTTACCACATACCATCAATACAGCTAAGTTTTCATTAATTTTCAATAATGATTAAACTTATTTATAGATTAATTAAATAGTATTTCTGAATGATTTAAAAAAATAAATGTTGCTATTTCTTTGATTTTTTCGCCCAAATATTCGGCCAAATCCCTATACATTGCATCACTTGTCTCGAGCAAGGTGCACGTGAAATTTGTCGCCTCTTGTTGGTTGTGGTTTGCGATAAGTACTAACTCGGGTGCTATTCATGTCATCTGACTGGGGTCAAAATTTAGGTGCTTGACCATAATTAGATGGGTGTATTTTGTGTTGTTGTTCCTTATCCTCCAATTGTATGGCGGAGTCAGACAAGATCCAATAAGTTGTTGACCCTCCTTGAAAAGGCCCAAGTAGTCAAGGATATGTTCGGCAGAGGCCTGCTGGGCTTCACATTTGGAGCAGACTGCATAAGTCTTTCTTCCTTCAAGGTACAAGAGACTATTCGTGTGTCCACTTGCCAATCTGGAAATTGCTGTCTGAGATGCTCTATCACCTATATCAGAGGTTCCCAAACTTTTTTTTTCATGGACCACTTTCAAAATTTTACTATTTTTGGTAGACACCCTGCTGCTACATTTCTACTGTATTCCCAAAATTCCTAAAAACTATCCCCCTAAGATGGTGGTGTTAAGAAGAGAAAAAAAGTAGCCCATTTTCTTGTGTCCTATTTAATAAAATAATACTTGTGGTTATACAAAATTATAAACATTTATTATTACAAACAATCAACAATTGACAAATAATCAACAATGAACTCAAAAATAAAAATTAACAATAAAAAATAGTCATACTTTTAATGAGACGGATGTACTTGATGAATTGACAGCAAATTATCAATATTTGGCTTCAGTTTTGTAAGAAGTAATCTCAAATCTCCCCATTCTGTGATGTTCAATCTGCTCTTTTTTTTGTTAACAGGTTGGTAACACCACTAAAACTTCTTTCGACAAGACATGACGAGGGAAACGCTATCAAATATTTTCTCACAATTTCCCTCAGCCCAGGATATTTTTTCGGGGATTTCTGCCTGCAGCCAAAATGTTTGATAGCCTTTTTTAAATTTCACCTTCAGTTCCTCGTTGGTGCTTAGCTCAAGTAGCTCCTCTTGTACCTCTTCCGTTACATCAAATGGGGTTATGATCAAATGTTGAGCGTATGTCTGAATATCCTCATCAAGGCATTCATCTGTGACAAGTGCGGAAACTGGGAGAATTCGCGCCGACTAATATTTTGCTTCATTAATTTCAATTTACCAAGAATAGTCGAAATTACACCCTTTGTTTTTATTAAATTAAGGTTGTCCCCTTGTAACTGTAAGTTAACGTCATTGAATTTTATGAACAAATCTGTTAAGTACGCAATATCCGCTTCATATTTGATCAGATTTTCTTTTAAATCTGGTGCTTTAGTTTCCAGACACTCTATCACTGATTCGAAAAGTGAGTAAAATCTCGATAAGCATGCACCTTTCGACAACCAGCGTACTTCAGTATGAAGGAGCAGTCCTTGGAAATCTTCATCATTTTCATCGCATAATAGTGCAAATAAACGGTTATTCAAAGCATTGCTTCTTATTTTATTAACTGCGTTAATCACAAATTGAGGCGATTGGTGCAATCTATCTCTCAAATTTTTCACTACAAGGTGTTGTCGGTGGATGACACAGTGAATCGCAATTAGTCCTGGTATTATTCTTTTACGATGGCTTATAAACCCACGATATCGCCCGAACATGGCAGGAGCTCCATCTGCTGCCACCGGAATAATGTTTGTAAATGGAATAGATTTTTCTGTAAAAAAATCACTCAGGACTTTAAATATCGATTCGCCTTTAGTGTTCAACATCAAAGGTTTTGCGTAAAGTTTTTAAAGTAAATCCAAGCCAAAATTTTTGTTCTTTATTATGAAACCCAGAAAATTTTTCGTCGGCCCCCACGTACAACTTATGAACCCCTGTTTTCTTTTCACGTCTACGTGGACTCCTGTGTGGTCTCCTATGGACAACTAGGGGTCCACTTTGGGAACCTATGACCTATATGAACAAGTGAAGAGCCCGGTTCCTTGGCCGCATACCAGTTACGAGAGCGGGAGGGGGGATCCTCCACTTTTTTGATAAAGGGCTTTGTATTTTGTGTTATGTATATTATAGTCCCTTTATGAGATTCAATCAAGATAAACTTTATTTAAATCAAAGTATAGAAAAAAAGGAAATAATATATATATATTTTTTAAGTTATTTTCTGATTATTATAGTTACTCTTTTTATAATTTTAGCTGACTAGGGTTTAAAGAGCACCCTTATCTTTTTAAAAATAAGTTGCACTATTTTATTTTCTATTATTTTATATATTAACTAAGTATTAATATTTGTATTATTTTCCTTGCATTATAAATTGCTCAAAACAAATAAGCATTAAATAAATTTGATTTTAAAATATTTATATTTTTGTTTTAAATTTTATTTTGTGTCTAAATCATACTTTCTTATTTCTAGTGAGTTCCAGGCAGTTCTTAACAGTTTACATTGGCCTGTTTTGTCAACAAACATAAGGCTGCCTGCCAATCAGGCAATTGATGTTCTGCTGAAATTCAAGCAGTTATTTCTCTCTTTGTGTAAAATTTCCTTACCGTATCCTTCTTTCATTTAAATTAAAAATGTTTTTGAAAACTGATTCTTATTTGTTAAAAACTGTGAACTTTGAATTTTAAGAGTATATATAGTATTTCTAGCGTTAAAAAATGCGAAATTTTTTGGTATATTGTCAGATTGTTTTTGTGACCCAGTTTTTTCCACAAATATGGCTGCTTTTTTAAAAAAAAAATGTATGGATCTGACTTCTTTTTTCTGGCATATGTCATCCTGCTGTTTTATAAAAAGTGTTATAATGGCACAGTCGGTAAGGTAGTCACTCTTACCAATAGGGAAGAGCAAAGAAATTTAAGTTCAATCCTAGTGGATAACTAAACGACTGGAATTCTTTTGGTTTTTCTTTATTCAAATTATCACAAATTGATTTTATTTTGCTCACTCACTGTATCTTTTACTTATTTCAGAAAATGAATTTGATTCAGTATGTAACCTTTATATTAAATGAATAATCCCAAAAAACTGAAGTGGTAAAGATATAACTTGATTAAAAACTTCATTCATTTCAAAGATATGCAAATTGAAAACAACAGTCGCCATGTTTAAAGCACTCAAAAATGTGTTTCTATTCTCAAGATTTTCCAGGCATGAATGAGAAGAAACATAAGCGATTTGAAATAAGTGTAAAGTTGCCAGCAGAAAAATGGAAAAATAAAAGTGAGAAACAAAACTAGAAAAACTGCAGTATCTGAGAGAGAAAATGAGATTAAAAACATTACTTTACATCTATTTTAAATTACTTTCGCTTCTTCTAATTCAGATCTGCCAAGTTTAGAAAATGGGTGCCTATTTTTAAGCACTTGAAACATATCAATTGTTATTTTCAATTTATGCATTTTTTAAGCGAATGAAGTATATAATCAAGTAATATTACCTTCGTTGGAGTTATTTTATACATTTTAATAGCAATTAGAAAAAATGTTCTTTAACTTAGTATATGCTACATTTATCATGTTATTTATATCAGAAAATAAAATTGTTTTTCATTGCACATTTTTCATAGCTTATTAGCAAAAGTATTAGTGAATTAATAGTAATGCTTGCATCAGAAAATAAAATTTTGATTTAGTAGATAATAAGTATCATAAACTTTTTTTAGTTGAAAGATTTTTTGAGTATTTAACAAATCATGTTAATTATTCCATTAAATACTATTGTGATTCATTTAAGTAAGTTTCATGGACTTTTTTTAAACTATTATTATGTATTACTTATTATAAAATATTATTAACAGAAATTAGTAAAAAAAAATTCTTAACTGACAGTGATACTTATGTCAGAATTCAAGATGTGAAGGACAGTGTGGAAGACACCTCATTACTGTTGCCTCTTCAACTGATGCTTCAACCTTTGCAGAAAAGATTTATGTTTCATTTCATGGGAAAGAAGCCCACTAACCGACTAGATAAGGTATTTTTTTATACATCGTTAAAGCATTTGCATAAAACAAAAATGTTTATTGACTAATTTTACAGTGCATTTGAAAGTTAAACATTTCTGAGTCTTTATTCCTGTATTACTGTTTCTCAGAAAGGAAACAATGTTTAAAAATAACAAAAAATACTAACAGGAAAAATTGAAATGTAAAAGAATTTGATTTTTACTCCAAAGAAAAAAATTTTCTACTCAGGCTTATTTGTAAAACCATTTTTTTAGGTTGCCTATAACTTCTATTTATGTAGTGCTATTGCTACATATATATTGCTATTTACATTTATCAAAATATAGTGAATTTTTACTTTAGTGCCATTAAATCATATTAAATTTCTATCCAGTCTAATAAAAGGAACATTCACGTTCGATGCATACTTTTTTGAATGGGACTGTCTGAAATTTAAATTGATATTTTAGTTTTATGTATAAACTCTTGTTTTTTTCAACATTTTAAAATTCATCAATAAATTCAATCAAATAAGTAATAAAAGTAGTAAGCTTTGGAAAAATGGAATTGCAAAATGTGTTTTCATATGTGCCATAATAAATTTGTACTTCATATTTTGTTAATATTTGGCCAATTTTGCATAATTTAAATCTGTGTCCAGAGCAGTACGGGCACTATAGTATATTTGTTCATGTGAATATGTTATTGTTTTCAATTTATTATTACAAAATTGCCAAAGAATTTATGATCTGAAATAATACATTGATTCTGATACTATTCTGCTCCTTGGGGCTGTAAAAAAATCGCCAAAATGTTATTGATGTGAGTGATGCTTAATTAACTGTGGTATTATTTCCAGTAGTGGTAAATAAAGAAAAATAGCAGGGTAAATACTGCAAAGAAAGAACAAAAAACACCCAAGTACAAGAAATGAAGAAAGGCCATAGTCATCGTATCAAAAGCTCTCTCTCGTGCGATTTGCAGTCCTCGTAATCAAGTTTGAAGAGTGCATTTTTTAAAAATATTTTATAAGGGTCATTGAACAGTCGACCCAAATTTGGGGGTACGACTACTATTGTTCAATTCCGCAGCCTTGTAATTTGGAACACAATCCAGAAGACAAGAGAATTCCTGNGTGAATTAAGCAGCTGGATTTGTTGGTGCTTAAATGTGAACTGTTCAACGTGTCTACAAGCAGTGGTGTAATACACGTGTTCAAGAAGAAGACGTCAGAATTGTGGTCGGAAAAAGATGCTGCATGAAAGGGACCGGAGACGTGTTTCACGACTTCTCAATCGAAATCGCTTCAAAATCCGACAGGAATTGCTTCAGTTATTAAATGAAGGTACATCCCAATTCGTTGGTGAGAAAGCATTGTGACGGGAGCAGCAAGCAATGGACATTTGGAGTCGAACATCTCGTTAGAGGCCATTGCTCACACATGCACATAAAGCTCCGCTGCTTCAGTGGGCCAGAAGTCATCGAACGTGGAGAGTTGCAGACAGGCGGAATGTAACATGGTATAACGAATCACCTTTTTGCCTTTATTCAAAAGACGTACGTCGTCGAGTGCAACGGTGAGAAGAGAAAGCATTTCATCCTGACTGCGTGCAATGTCAGTTTCAAGCCGAGAGTGAGTATTTCAAGTTTTGGGACGTTTATCTTATTATGGATTGAGCCCCCTCACTAAGGTGGCTACTAACACGAACCAGCATGTTTATTTGAACATTCTGAATGTTTAGATGTTGCTTTTCAGTCGACATCTTCATGAAGAGTGTGTTGTCGATACCCCTATTTTTCAAGAAGACCACAGCAAAGTTCATAGGGCAGGAAGAATATGTGACTGGTCTTATGAACACTCAATTTCATCTCGACTGGAATGCAAAGTCACCTGTGTTCAACCCCATTTAAAATTTGTGGGACGTGTTGGAACAACGGGTAAAACGCCGAAATCAACATCCTCGCTATTTGGTGGATTTGGGCGATCACATCCTCAACGAGTGGCTTACATTGGATTCGACGTACCTGCAAAACCTTGTGGACTCCCTTCCTAACCGAATCCAGGTGGTTATCGCATCTAAAGGCGGTGTTACATGTTATTAAAGGATATTTTTCATGATTTCTTGAAGGGTGAGTAATTTTTGTCCGTTGTGCTTCATATATATATATATATATATATATATATAAATATGGCATTTTATTTTTTGTAATTATTTTTAAGCAACCAACATGTAGGATTCGTGACTATCAATATTAACAACTCAATTCAGGAGGCAGGAAAAGTCACAGAATGGCTGTGGGTCAAAATTGAGGTTCCAAAACTTTTTTTAATGAAATTAACCCTCTATTGTGTGCTTTATGGCAAGAAAAACCTTCCAATCTAAGCACACAAAAAACTACTACTAGGAATATTTTACATCACACTCCCCAAATAATAAATTTCATTATCTAATTTATTTTCTACAGTAATTGTTATTTATGGTTTAAATTATAGCCCTTAATATTTTATTTTGATTTAGTTTTGATTCGAAAATGAATTTCTTTCTAGTTTCAAATGATGAAAGGCTTAGTTCGATTGGCGATTTTTCGTTTGAAATCTGATATGAAAACTTTGCTTGATGATGATAGACTTCTCAGCCACACAATTGATGAAATCATGCTCTTTTCCCGCAAACTGAAGAATCAAGGCTATCCTCAGAGTTATCCTGACATTTTACAACTACTGACATCTGAGCCATGCTTCACTGAATGGAGATCCTTAGAACATCAAGGTAGAACAATTATTTTATCGTTCTTTGTTTATGTTCGATAAATACAAAAACATTTTTCAAAAATTTCTCTTAAATTTAGTAATTTGAAACTATACTTTCGATCCTATTTATTAGTTGAATGTTGATCCATTGTTCTTACACTTTTAATTTTTCCAAATGTATCATCTCATCATCAAAGCATTCTTACAATGTTAATAAAACATTTTCAGATAATTTTTGAAACTAGTAAATTCTTGCAACAATTGGTCAGAAATTATCAGGTCTTTTTTTTAAAAAAAAAGAAAAAGGAAGTTATTTCGTTTTTAGGAGAAAAACAGTAACTCCTGATACTTATAATAAAAAAATAAAGTTTAGATACTCGCTCCTAAAACACATTTGATATTTTTGCATGAGTTGATGAAAATGTTGAAATTTGTGGGCAATTCAAGAAAGGGTTTCAGAAGCTAAAGAAGTGCAAAGTGACACTGATGAAGATGACGAAAGACAATCAGTGTCCGTGGAAAACCTCAAAGCCTTTAAAACAATGAGGAAAATTTTTTATTAAAACAAACTGACAGAAAGAGAACAATCAGTTACAAATGTGGGAAAGTTATTGTTTGCATTGAGAAGAAAAAAAAGTGTTGAAACCAAAATTTCTAAATATATTTAATTAAATAAATGTGTTTATTCATTTTTCTTTTGCATCATAAATATTTTTTTTCCGTATTTACATACTTTTTTTCTAAAACTTTTGTATACTTATTATAAATTTATAAGTAATTAAATCTATTACTTCTTTACATACATTTTCTAGTTACTATTGGTTATTATATGTTGACCTTACATTTGTTTTTTCCCCGGTCTATACCAATGTCCCACAAGAAACATCTATCTATGTTCTAATGTACATGTGCAATACAGTGGTATTGCTATGAAGGAAATAACCCACAAGTTATAATTAAATTTCACTTGTTTTATTTTTAACTGCATTATTAAAATTTTTTTAAATTTTTTATTTTTAAACCTATTGCAATTTTTGTGAATATATATAAATAGGCATGTGGATACCTTTTACTTGAATACATTCAGGGTTTAATATTTTATTTTTATAGCTTTGAAGTGTTTGTATATAGTACATATTGTTAAGTGTGTATTGTATTTACTATTTAGAGCAAACATGTATTCCTTTGTGTTGCTCATTCTTCCAGCTTAATTGACTGTTTAAAAAATTTTCTTGTATATTTTTCAAAAATAGGATTTAAATGCATGTTATCTTTAATACAGTGTATTATATTTTTCAGGAGCATTAGAGAAAATGGATAAATTCTTAAGTCTGGACACCTCTTGGAAATCCAGATATCAAGATGAGAGTGATATTGATGATCTGCATGTACCAGAAAGTGCAGAACTCTTTATAACTCTTCTTTTAACAATGACTGGTAGGCATAATATTTCTTTTAGCTATAGAAGATAAGAAGCTCAATGTAAGAAAAAAAAATGAATTGAAAGTTAAATTTATATTTCTCAAAAATTCTTTTTATTTTTTGTACTCGGAACCTAGATAGCCTGGAAGATAGCCAGACAAAAAAGATAATGGCTCAATGCATATTGATCTGAGCCTTCAGAAAGCTCAAGCAGTTTTAATGATACAAAGAATTTTTGGAAAAATAACAGAATCATTGTGGTTCAGGGGATAGAGCTCTCACCCCCCATTAAGGTGAATATTGATATAAATTCTGCTCTAGGCTCAAACAAACCACAGTGCTGACCTAAAAATATCCTCAGTGATGAATGGTTCATGGGTAAAAATCTGCTTGCCATTGGGCTAACTGTGAGTTTCTTTTCGGATTTTCCTTTCCTATTATCACAAAAGCGAATAGGTTTAGACTCATTGAAAAAATCCTCCAGAAAGTCTCAATACTTAATCAAAGTGTTCCCTTGTCTTTTGTATTTGGGTTCAACTCTTTGCTTACGGCTGCTACGAACTAAAAATGAACCAGCATGGCTGGCTTCACCATGCTAAGAAAGTGCTGTAAGCAAAGGGTTAATTTTAGTAGGCTGCAGGGTTGAACATTGATTGTCATAAACGCAACGATGGTTAAAATATAAAATAAAATATATGTAATTAAATATTATATTTTAAATATTATATTTTTAAAAATAATCATTTTAATGTAATTTAATACAATATTTTAAAATTTTCTATGTTTTTTAAATTTCCTTTTTCAAAAAATATTACTTAAATTGTTATAAGAAATTGTGAAAATCTTCATAAGCTTTCCTTCTTATAGAATGTGAATTTCCAAATTCAACCTTTTCTGTCATTAAAAAGTTATCAAAATTTGAAGATAAAATATTCGGTTAATGTTACAAATTCATCCTATTATATAACAATAATATACATATTTTTCTTTAAAAAAATTTTTCTTTTATATTTTACGAATTAATTTTAAGTTTTTATTATTTTAATTCAGTTGGAGTAAAAATAAACAGTTAAATAATTCAGTAAAGTCAAATGTAAATAAGGGAAATTGAAGCGATTTAACTACACTTCCTTTATTTTTCTTTTAGATAGTCTTTTAACAATGACAATCGGGTAAAGAAAAGACTCAAGGATCTGGTAATCCTGTCTCTGGTCCTAATTTCATTTTTTGACCTTCAATAATATTTAAAAAAAATAAACAATTCATTGTCTATGGGATTTATAATCTTGTAATATTAATGATTGATTGACAATGATTTATAATCTATTGTAAATAATATTAATAAAACATTTTTTTGAGTATTTCAAGTTATTATTGCTTAATTGCTAAATTAAATGCCATTTTATTTTTCTTAATATTCATCCTAATATGAATGATATTTTACTTAGCTCTTTTCGCTTATGTAAATAACTTGTAAAGGTTAAATTTTAAGTTTTTTTTTTGTATAAATTTTATTTAACATATTCGCTTGTTATAACTTGTCATAGTAAGCTAACTCTGAAACAAATAAAAATTCATAGAATGTTTAATCCTGAAATAAAAGTGTTTAAAAAAAAAATTTGAAAAATATTGAATTACAGTATGCATTTTCAGGTGTAAAAGGTGTTTTGATCATTTGTATATATATATATATATATATAAGTTGATCATTATATTAAAAAAATATAATTCAGACATTCAAAATATACATTCCATTAAGGTAGATATTAAAAATGTTGCTATATTTAAGCCTAAGAAACTTTTTTTAAAACTTTTTCTGTTCTTTGTGGGATGGTGATCAGAACAATCACTTAAGGGCAGCCTAAAACTAATTTAATAAATATATTCATATTCATTTAATTTCAAAACTTTAATGCTTTTGCATAAGTCAGATTTTAATTTTTAGTTATAATTATGTTTAGTTATATTACGTTTACAATTGTAATTGTAATATGTATGACTATCAAAACCTCAAGGTGCATAGTGCCAAATAGAACAAATAGTTTTTGGTTCACCAAGAGCTGCTAAAATTCTAGATACTGTCCTGTTAGCATGTATGTGTAATACAAATAATGGAATATTATATTGGTTGCTTTTGCAGTTTCAGTTTTAATGTAGTTTTCAATATCATTTAGTGAATGTAATATAAATGCTAACAAAAAAATGTTATTTTCAAGTTTTATTTATTGGTTCTAATTTTTTCCTTCTCAATTTCTAGAAAGGTATTGTAATGTATCTGGAAAAGACTGCCAAGTATCTTTCCTGGAGCTACAATTGGAACTCCTTGATGACTTTCGTTTGAGGTTGCATCAGTTATCACAATGTGAAATGCAAGAAGCTATTCAGCCCAACTTCTGTGGTATCATGAATGCCATACATTACATAGCTATGGTGCTAGAGGAATGGAACAATTTGCCAGTAAGCTTTTTTAAACATTTACTTTCCATGTTTCTCACAGGATCTAAGAATTCTAAGGATCTCTCAAGGATCCAAAGTCTAATAATTGTCTATTGCTCTTGGAGCAGTGCGTGTGTGTTTATATACATATTACCAGACTTTTAAATGTTATTTTAAAGGTTAGTAATTTTTAAAAACTAATTTTTCTGAATAAGTTATTTTTAGCATTCTTGATCTTAATCGCAAGTAAGATTCATGATGGCTTTATAAATAATCTGGCTCTATTTATTGCATTTATGAATTTTTAAATTCTTTCTGTTATTGTGCAAGACATTTCAATTTATAATTAATATGCATTTGTGTTATAATGTTTTATATAATCAATTGACATGTCAAACCATGGTCTAGTGAAATTCTGTTTCTTTCAAAATCTAATAGTTGACCTTTTTTATATATTAAAAAGTAATTTTTGTTGATTATTTAAATAGAAAATTATTTGTTTCTGAGGAAATATTGTATTGCCGTGCATGATAAAAACTATTGTCCAAAATTCAACAAATTTTCCTGGAAAAATCAAGTTTAATTAAGTTCGAATCCTAATTTTTGTATTTAAATTATTAAAATTGTAAATAAAGCATAATATTAACTATTAAGTTTAATTGAGTTTGAGTTTATTGATATTGAGTTTATGACTGTTTATAAATGTAGTACATTCTCTAATCTTTTAAAAATGTTATGATTATGTTTAATTTAATTAAAAAAATTTTTTGCAGTTTTTTCTGCAACTTCACACCTATAGGAAAAAGAAATTAGCTTGTGAAGCAATTATGAGAGGTAAAAATTTTTATTCAAAAAATATAATCATTTGAAAAATTAATTCAGCTTTTTATTAGAAAATCTTATATTTCGTTTGTAATTTCATAATATATAATTTGTTAACAAAGATATTTATTTAGAAGTTTGTTTTTCCTAAAACTGTTATTTGAAACTGTTGTCATATTAGGATATCATGAGCCATTTTCATAGCTGTTCTAAGTTAATAACAATTACAGTAGAAGATCTTTATAATGAAAATCTTGAAACATGTGGTTTTGTGTTGGATAGAATTTTGTAGTTATAGTAGAAGATCTCTTTATAACACAAATCTCAAAATCATGGATATTTGTATTTTATGGAATTTTATGTTATTTATTTATTTTATAGAATTTTGTATTATATAGATTATGGAATTTTGTGTTATTAATTTTTTTTATAGAATTTTTTATTATATAGACTATGGACTTTTGTGTTATTAATTTATTTTATAGAATTTTTTGTTATATGTATTATGGAATTTTGTGTTATTAATTTATTTAATGGAATTTTGTCTTATATACATTAGGAAATTTTGTGTTACTTATTTATTTTATAAAATGTTGTGTTATATAGATTATGGAATTTTGTGTTATTTATTTATTTATTTTATGAAATTTTGTGTTATATTACTTATTTTCAAACTTACCTACTAAATATGGCAAGATTAGTCTCGAGGAGATCGATCTTGAAATGCTTTAAAATAATTTTTGGATGCAAATACTTAAAAATACAAAATAATCACTTAGATATTTATTATTCATAGAAAAAAGTAAATTATGATTCAAATTAATGACTTTTTTCTGTGGGATTTTCAGAATCTTACCTATTGTAAAGAACTGGTCATAAACTTGAACTTTTGTGCTTTTGAATAACTAAATTAATAAATTCCATGTGTAACCAATTAACTTCATGAAAAATGATCAAATGAACGGCCACAGAATGCATGAGGGAAACTAACACCCCAGTGTTGATCTCTCTCCTTAACTCCCACACAACATTAACTCATTTACATAAACAAAGCCCTTCTTTAGTATTCTTATTATTTTGTATTTTTTTGAAGTTATCAGGAGAGGGATACACAAATACTAGGTGGGAAAAAACTTACCATAAACTTATAAAGGGTTAAGATATACAGTGAAACCTCAATTGAACGGACACTCTTGGAACCAAAAAAATTTTCAGTTTCCGAGAAAGGTACCCTAATAACGAAATTTAACACCGCAAACTGTTTTTAGAATATTTTCTGTGATATATGTATAGAAACAATACAACAGTCTACGAGGATATTTCTTTAGACTATAAAAAATATATTTTCTGTACAAAAGAATATATGAAAAGGTTTGATATAACTACATAATTTAAGATGTAGCTTACTGACCAGCCTGTGTAAGGGTCAGGGAACTGGCCTTGCATCAAAAAGGTTCTGGGTTCAAATCCTGGGCAAGACGTGAATGTTCTTTAATTCTTTGTACTATCTGACCTTACTGTGTGAACAACGTTGGCCCACCTAATAGGGTTCCCCTGAAAGAGTGGCCAACAAATCTGCCCGTCAGATGCCTGTATGACGAAAGGTCATTCTCCAGGTGGGTATTGGAAGAAAAAAGTAGCTATAGATAAATGAATATAATTTTCCTATTAACACAGATATTATCACATAGAATTAAAAATATGTCCGTATTGAGAGGCGTCCATTTTGTTAGACTGTCCATAACACGAGGTTTCACTACATACCCATTTTCAAGTAAAGAAAATTTTTTTCAGCATGGTAGTATACATAGTTTAAAAACCTTTTCTTTTAGTTTAATCTTCCTGTGCTTTTTTATTTTCTTGATTGAAAAGATTTTGAAGAATACCCTTACGATACAACTAATTCTGGTTGCTTAAGTTATTTGTACTTCTGCAGATTTGGATAAGTCCCAGTTGAGTATCATGAAAGGCAGAGAGCATCGGACAGCATCAGAAGAAGAACTTATAGAAGCGTCTGTGTTTGATGACACCATCGGATTGTTGAATCACATGCAGAATGATTTCTTACAAACAATGTGTGATAGAGTCATGCTGGATATCAAAGCTAAGAGCAGGCCTTATAGAAAAGAGAAGTAAGATATTCGTATTACGACCCTGATGTGATTTGTATATAAGTGAAAAATATAATATTGGATTTAAGTTTTCTCATTCCCATACAACAGCTACAGTATGAAGATGATGCTATCGATGATTTACTTTAAGAATTGAAAGTTAAATTAGAGAGAGAAAAAACAAGCATCTCTAACAAACCTCTTCTCATCTTTTAAGACTAACTAATTTTTACGATATAAAATTAAATGCAAAGCTAAACAAAAAACATAATTGTTTATTTATTTAGAATAGCTCGATAATTAGTAAATTTGTTTTTACACATAATTATATCAGCTGGGATAATTTTTATATATGCTAAATTTCAATCATCGAACCGCCTTTTCATGGCACCACCAGAAGGAGCATTTCTGCCCCAAAAAAATTGACACTGACTGAAAGTAAAATAATTTCTGAAAAATAAGGTGCCTTCGATAACAACTTTAAAGTCAATGGAGATAACCTCTAAGAACGACCATTTTATTGTGAAATGGAGAGTGATCATTTCTGAGAGGTTTCTCTGTATTACAAACCTGATATAAGGAAGTTGATATTTTCCATTTGATACTGATTTGATTTGCCAGAGATTTTCACAATAATTACATTTCTGGAAGATTACATTTAGTCTGATCTGGAGATTGTAAAATTAATCGTATGATATTTTAGTTTTCTTTAAATTTTCAAATATATTTATTGTAAAGTTAATTTTATAATTATTTTTAAATGTTTGTCTTTCTTCATGATTCCTATGTAACAGTTTTTTTTTTAAAAAAAAAATTTATGTCAATTAAAAGATTGAATATGAAATTAGCAAGAGTAATTCATTGCAATTTGATTCCCAAAGTGGTTTTTCATAAGATGAAGAAGTTTTACTTTTGCTTAGTAATAGGTTTAGGTCATTTTTCAGTTATTTTTAGTGTATGAACCTGTGACTGTAATGTTTTAATGTATGAATTTATTTTTAAGTTTACCATTTAAGAGAATTAAAATTAAAGACAGGCTTTAAAATTCAATAAAGACTTTTAGCTATAATTGAAGCAATAGAAATTTTACTTAATTTTTCAATCCCACTTTCATTTAAGATTTAAAGATTAATATGTATTTGATAAAGTACTTTATACTGACTGATTTAGTATCAGCTTGTAACTAAACTAAAAAATTAGTATACCCATTCCTAA